AGGTCGGAAAAGTTGCTGGGATGCCTGCCGCCCGCGAGGCTGGGTGCCCTGAGAAGGAGAAGAGCGACGTCCGGGAGATGTCTGTATTCCCAGCTGCGCTAACGGTTTTTCTGTGGGGAGGGGCAACTTCTGCTTTGGGGCGGGGCGGGGGGAGACGATTTTTGCCGTCAAGGGGTTGTCACGTGAGAAACTTCAACCAGCAGCTACCGAAAGCCCCTCGATACTCACAAGTGCGGAGCCCCGGCTATCTCCCACTCTTATCTAGATGCCCTTTTTGAAAGAGTTTTGGCAGCGATGTACTTTGCTTTATCACTCCGCAAATATGCTCCTATTAAAAAAAAAAAAAAGCAGCTTTTCAGTGTTTGATGTGTATTTTATTAATTCCCTAGGCCCCACTCATTTGCTAGATGTTCTTTTCCTTTGATCTCTTGGTAGCAGTGTTCATTTAGGAGATGTGTTTATCTGAGCGGGCCTCAATATCCTATCAGGGAATTTGAATAAATATAGTTATTTCTTATTTTCTAACACAGAGCAGCTGAGGGGTTTTAGAAATCGAAAAGCATGGAAGAAATTGAATTCTAGGCTGTCTTTTAATAGGTAGGACCTTTGCAGTAAGGTCAATAAATCCAGATATGCTAATAAAATGTTAATAATAACTACAATTAGAACTTCAGCTGACTTTATTTTTTTTAATTAACAGGACTTTTTCACTTAACTTATGAATATTTCACTTTTACTGGAGAATTTTTGGCTTTGCTGATATAGCTTTTGTGCAAACTACCTTTTTTGGGTCAAAGAACAGGGATGTCACACCACATCTATTTAAAACACAACCACTGTTCATCAGTCAACTGATGCTTGGCAGATGAAATATTCCATTCATTAATAGTAGGAAAAAACTGAGATGGGTCACTTTGGAACACAGGTAAGCAAAAATAATTTCAGAATGTTTATTGGGGGGTAACCTGTTTTTATCATTTATAATAATTAAAACCATGCAAGTTTGCCCACTAAGGGACTACACTGCAGAGAAAGAGTGGCTTGCAAGGCAAAACGATGCTGTGTTCTCCTTCAGCATCTGTATAGCAAAAGGGAAATGTTCTAGGGAATTTTCTGCTGACTGTGGTTCGTGTCTGTCTCTTCCTAACCTTTGCAATGTTGCAATGGACCAAAACATTTGCACCAGGATATATGTGTGTGTGTATATAATTTTATTTTGGGGGGTGGTGGGGGGGTTATGAACAAGTGCCTGAGTGACTTGGTTGACAAGCACTAATGGTCACTGTACTAATTAATTAGTGATTGATGGAGTGCAAGGGATTCATTTTTATTCCTCTTCTCCCTTTCCCTGAAATGATTCTAATTTTTTTTTTTCTTCTGGCCTTGAAACTAGGCTGTGCTATTCTCTTTATGCCAGTTCACTGGTTTCTCTTTGCATTTTATATCTTCATCTTAAAAGAAGTGCACACTGTACTTCCCAGTGACACTCATATACAGTGTAGTGTGTTTCCTGTCAGTGTCTAAGTTAGAGTAAATGCCTCATGAGGCAGGAACTATGTTTCTCCTTATGTTACATGTTATGGTGCTGAATGTGCTAAGCCAATACAACTCTGGAAACAAAGGGGGAAATAACCAAGAATTCATGATCTGTAATTCATGGCTCTCTATGGGCCCAGTTCTGCAGAACACCCATAAAAAGTCAATATTTCTGTGCATCCCATGCTGGCAGGACCAAACCCTTAGAATCCACTAACTCTCAGCTGCCCCATACAATACTTAATTTATGGCATGGATGGGGTAAATTCACTTGCATTTCAAGGTAGAATACATTTGTCTCTACTTTTTCCTGGCTTCTGTTCACAAAAAGCATATTAACAAACCCATGTTACCAACTGCTTCCTGCTTCTGTTGTTCAGTGTTTTGTAGTTACCACGGCTGACCAACAAGCTGTAAATCTTGCCTAGTGTTTTATAACAAAGGAAAAAATAGAATGATTTGTGTTGACTTCTGGTCATCGTGTTTCATTATTGATTTAAAGCAGGGCAGCGAGAAAAGAATACAGTATGTCTACTGCTTTGCTGATTACCTAGCACAGTGGTGTTAGCAGTCAGTAGAGGGCAATAGAGAAATACGGTTTGTGATACCTAAAGGATTTGAAGCACTGATTATGTGTTTACAAAAAAGAAAAAGAAGAAAAGAAGAGCCAGGAGGATAGGTTGTTCAGTTTACTACTGGAGACCTGTCTGTAACAGACCACCAAGAAAACAAAATTTTCAAAGAGAGCATCTGTAGCATCTCTGAGTCTTTCCTTTTTTCTTCAGTGACGTCGGATAACTTAGCCAGAACTTATTGATGACTGCATGTTCAATGGACTCAAGAAGGTAATGGGAGATGCAAGAATGTACTCTTTTGAAGGAACAGAAGAGGAGGCATTTCAAAGATCCTGCAGGTGACTGAGGTGAGCAAACTAGCACCTTCTCTTTCGTGTGAGGCAGTAGATGTTCAGTCAGCTGTATCAAAGTCATGAACAAACTGAGTGATTGAAATTATTTGAGAATTTTGCTTTTTCAGGCATGCTAGTGCAAAAATAATTTTATCTTGGAAAAAAAATGGGTAGTGATGGTGTGGGGTAAGCATTTCTAAACATGCATTATTTTGGAGATGGGGTATGTTAAAATTGGTGATTTAAGTGCAATATTTTATATTGGAGCTATTGGAGACATGCTTATAATTGCACAAGGTTTCTGTATTGTAGTTTCCAGACTCTAGTTTACTGGGGAAATCTTTAAAGAAAATGAGATGATTATTGTTCCTTTGAGGGGATTTTTGCTAAGCTTTTGGACAAATACGACTTGTAGGTTTGGAGAAAATTATTAGGAAGTTTCAGATGCATGGTGGAAATGCTCTCAGATTTTGCAAATCTTTTATTGTTAGAAAGGTACTGAGAATTGATAAGAAAGAATATAGCAGTAACAAAAAGAGTTAAGCCACAAAGATCAAAGGGCTGACAGAGGGATTGGAAAGCAGAAAAAAGCAAGAAACTAAATTAGGAAGTAAGCATATGAAACACTTTTCCATTGCCAAGATCTCAGCTGGTGTCACCATAACACTTGGAAAATACCCTCAGGATGCTAGGAACCATTAAAGCAATACAGATTATCAGAGGATAAACTTCCACTTCAGCAGCCATCAGTACCAGAAGTGACCAACAAGAAACACTTGGGAAATGAAAGATGAAGAATTGTCATTCCAGCGATATCACAGAGAAAGTGCAAGGATATCTAGAGGTCAGTCAGACACTACCAATCTGAGGCAGGGCAGGCTGATAAATAAAAGGGATAAAAGAATATTCTGAAAAATAACACTCGCTAGCTTCTTCTTTATTAGCTTTTAAAATCTGATGGTATGTTCCTCATGAGCCTGGATGTATTTTAAAAGTGATGTGATAGGTAAGGAAACAGCACAATGATTTGTCTGTGCTTTGTATGCCAAAATGTGCAAAAAATTAATATGATGATTGTTTACTCATTGCTGAGAACGCAGCTTCCTTGCAGCGTGTACCAGAGTGAAGTGAAAGATAACATATATAAAGTATGTCACTATTTTCCATGGGTGGGCAATATCTGTCTGACAGGGAAAGGGACTCACTGAATATCAGAATCCCCCTAATGCCGAAAGCTACAGGTTCCAGTTAAGTCTCTAATTTTTTTCCTTCCTTTTAGTCTGTTTCCAATGCTCTAGATTTTTTGCATACCTGTAAATCAATTCTTGCAACAGATAATAGAAATTAGAGTTGGTCTTGAACAAAAACCTCAGAGGAAGAAGTGTATCTTAAGTTTAAGGAAATTCATATTTGCATACCAATTCTTTAAAACAGTCTGTGGTGTAAATGTTTAGTTCTTTCTCTGAAATGTAAAGCTCTAGGAAAACCTGACAACAAACGCTTTCTTATAGATGATACCTATTTTCAGTGAAATGAACATGATTGGTTGGTGTTTGCTGAAGAATTTCCTTATGGGTCATATTGCTACAGATCTGGTTGTAGGAATTTTCATAGTGGAGAGCCACACAGTTCAGTGGCTGGGGCTGAGAAATGGGAGCTGCTGCTTGTTCAAGTCAAGGTTTTGCTTTGCCACTGTGTGACTGGGGTACACGTTTAAGCTCTTTATGGTCAATTTATCCAGTGGCAAACCTGGGATCTTGCCTAGACTAAGGGCTAGGCTTTGAATCACAGGCCGCAGATGTACAAGGACATCCTCTTTATGTAGAAGATATGAGAAAGGCCATAGTTTCGACACAGCATCCTTCAGTAAGCAGACAGAGATACTCCTATGCCAGTTCTGGATGCAAGTCCTCATTACCTTGACTCGAATTACTCCTCCATTTTCACTAGCAAAACAGGTGTCTGAAAACATTGAAATCTCAAGCTGAAGTTCCACCTATTTTAAAAAAAAAAAAAAGTTAGTTAATGTGTTAATTGTCAAATAAGCCTGTTTTGCTTAATGAAATGTGAAATGGCACCTACTGTTAGGAAAATCAGTGTGCACGGGAGTTTGTCCCAAGCACTTAGGGTCATTGATTGCTGTGCTACAGTACAACCCAGGGCTGCTATTTCAGCCTCTTGCCAAAATAGGAATGTTTTGCTTTCTGATGAGTCATCTGGGTTTCAGTCAGATCCTTTAAGATTCCCCCACCCTGTTGTTCTTTGCTGTATAGTCTGGCCCCTGCTGTAGAAGCCTTGCTTTCCTGGCCTCTTCAGCCACTCTCAGCTCCGCTCCTTAATTAACTTGGAGGGAACTGCTATTGAACCATTTTCTCTGGCATTGGGGCTGAATATGCAGCATTCCTAGCCTTTTCTGGCCTGGGGTTTAATGGAGCAGTGTTGACAACTGACCGGGAGTTTACCATGCAACTGTGCAAAATGTTACCTGCATCAAGCCAGAAAGGTCAACCAGAGGAGGAAGCTGTAGAGGTTCTCCATATTGGTTGTATATACTCACAAACAGCACAGAAGAGCTGTACGCTTTATGGAAAAACTTCTTTACTTCTCTGTCTCTTTTTTTTTTCTCTCTTCCTTCCACTTCCAGTGCAGAAAGTGGATATGGGAAGTTCAGGGGTTTTTTGCTAGTTTGTTTGTTTTAAATTTTGTTTACTTTCAGTTCTTTTCCTTTGAATTCTGAGCAGCCTGCTTTAAGGTGGCCTGTGTTGTGTGGGAGGTTGGACTATTTCTAAGATATTTTTTCCCCATAGGTGGTATTTTTGTGTATTTGAAAATGAGCCAGAGAATAAAAACAAGGTATTCACTGTGAAGAACTGTGACGCGGAGTAGATCTTTGCAGTTGCTGGTCTCAGTGTTTCTGGGTTTTCTCGGAAAATGCTTTGGCTAGCATGCTTAGGCTGCTTTAACAGAATACTATGATGCAGAAATTTAGTCTGCTGAGGGATAAACAGTTCTGAAGGCTGTACTCTCTGCTGCAATAGAGAAGTGACTTCTCACATCTGTTTATAATATCCAAAGTAGATCTCATATCTGAGAAGTAGCCATCTTTGCTGATTCCTCCAGTTTTATTCTTGATGAGGAGGGTGGCAAGAAGGGAAAGGAGTATTTATTGTTAAAGTGTGTGAAATAATATGAATTTGAAAGATTTGGATCAGTTTCTTAGCAATCAATTAATTTTGGCTTAGTTCATTCAAAATTAAACTCTTTGCCCAGCTGGCATCCTTGCTGAAACTGAGATCTTTAAAGCTATTTACAGCATCTAAAAACAAACGTCTCTTCTATTAACTTCAATCATAAAGCCCATTAAAGTGTGCAGAAGATCTGAGTCTTAGAGATGACAGTGATGTATATAATTTAGACACGAGAGAGAGAACAAAGAATCAGACTGATGCTTGGAGTGAACTTTAAGCCAGAATTTCACAGTCAAGTACAGGTGGGTGGTGCCGTGCTCTTTTGTCTGCCTCAAAACTGCTGAGGCACAGTGGTAGTGTAGCATATTTTATTTGCATTGGGAAGAGAGCACTTGAGTCTTCATTGTTTTAATGTGGCATTGCCACTAAAACTTATTTCTCTTTTAAAGGAAAAATTAAAATGGGGAGGATGCAACTACTTCATAAGTCTGAGGCAGCTATAGTAAAGGGGAAAAACTCCACGTGATAGTAATTTAATTAGACTGGAGTGTTAGTGGCATGACGGGTAACGGAAAACATAAAACTTCAGTGAAATTTGCATTGTAGCTGCATAATTCTTCAGTACTGAAAGGAGATACTTTTTCTAAAATTGTCCTACGTGCAAAGCCTGCATTCTTTATTGTGTTACTAAAGGGTGTTTCTATGGAAAATAAAACAGTAAGGGATAGGTGATTCAATAAAATAATTTGTGTAGCGCCCCAGAGTTCTCTGCTTTAGCATCCCAAGCCAGAAGAGGCTCAAAGCAGTTACATGTGCGTATGTTAAACAAAAATCAATGTCAGGGTTGTCATTAACTTAATACCCATTTGAAGAAGGGGAAGAGGCTTCATGCAGTCCCAAATTCTTTTTAAAAGGCCTGTAGCCTCATGTTTTCATGTATTCTATGCATTACTAGTACATAAACCTAATGGCAGTGTTAGAGTATGGCTTGTCAAAGACTCTTGAAAGGTCACTTTGGCTCTCAGCAAGAAAAAGGTCTATTTGCCCTCTTCTGAAAAGTCATTTTTAAAGTGACTAGGGTATTGGCATGGCAGACATACCAAACTTTGCCCATTTATAAGGGGCTTAGTTTGTGTAAATGAACACTATTTTCATCCTTAAGCAATGTTTTCCTGATGAAAATATTCATGGATGTCTAGTATTTATGACACGATGGTGCATTTGATTTTTTGCTTTTAGAGAACTGTAGTCTGGATCAGAGCCACAAGTGAGGGAGACTTCTTTTGAACTATGCTTGAATCCAGAATTCAAGTTCAGATGAATTATAGAGTCAGGTGCAACATATGACTCAATGATTCTTGATCCTTTCCAAAGTTTGGAATCAGCATGACGCTTCAAGTCTATTTCCTGTGAAAATAAACGTTTTTCCTGGTTTGCTGTGGTAGTCCCACCTTTCCTGTTAAGCTACTCTGTGAATTCTCTGTATCCCCTTATTACTGTTAAGAAGAAAGAGCTGCTTTTCACAAGAGTCTGCATAAAAGATAAAACAGTGGAAAGCCTAAAGGAGTAAAGGGCCAGATAGAGATGTACTGGCAGGCCTCTGTAAAGAGGTTGTCACAGTGCCTGTTGGCTCTCTGCTGTCTTATTTGCTCTGCTGGTTAATCATTCGCTTGAGTGCCCAGGTACCATGGTGATGGACACCCCACCAGTGCCAGAGAGCAAGCATGCAGCATATTCAATGAAACGTGGAAACCCAAAATAAATATGAATTTTGAAAATCTCCAGCATAGCCAATGATGCAGTTTCCTTTCCTCTCTAACAATACAA